GTGCGCGAGCCGGGCGCAGCAGCAGGGACTTTCCAGCCGGCGCGGCGGCGGCCGCCGCTTCCCCGCCCCCGCCATGGGGCCGCCCGGGGAGCGGGACGCTGCGGACGGCGGCGGAGGACGCGCCCGTCGCCCCTGAGCGTCCGGGCGGCGCGGAGCGGGGTAAGGCTGGCGGCGAGGGCGGGCGGCGAGGGCCCGGCCCCGGCTCCGTCCCGGCCGGCGACCCGGGCGCCGCAACTTTGCAAACTTTGTGGTGGAGACCGGGTTCCGGGGAGCGGGGCCTCGTGTGGCTTGGGCCGGGCTGCGTGGCCGCGAGCGCCGGCCGGGGGAAAAGTTCGCCCTGAGTCATCGCTGCGGATGGGCCGCAGCGCGCCGCAGAGCCGGGCCCACGCGTGCCCAGGCGGCCTGGGCGCGAGTCCTCCGGCCTCGGGTGGAAGGGCCGCCCGCGGGGAGGATGGGCGGGGGCCGTGCCCTGAATCCCAGCAGCCTGCGGTGGCCCAGGAAGGAGCGCCGCGTTTCACGTTTCACATTGAGCTCCGAATCCGTTTTCAGGATGAGACCTCCTGTGCGTGTGTGTGTGTGTGCCATTATGTGTTCATTGAATCCCGTGCTCTATGGAGCAGCGTGGTAGCGGCTTCTTAATTTACATTCACAGCATACAACTGCACAGGAGCCATAATTATTTTTTTCTCGGCATTTTTTTGTGGATGCACACCAGCGAAGCCTTTGGAGACGCTGCTCTCTGTTCTCTTGCATGTGTCGCATGTGTCTGTAAAACCCTTGTTTGGAGAAAAGCTCAGGTGGACCCTCCGTTGGGCTTAAAATCTTCTCATGCCTTCAGGTCTTTACAGATGACCTGTCGAAAAGACTGCATCACATGTAGCATGCCCCTCGAAATACAGTACAGCCGTCCTTTATTCAAATGAGAGGAAATGTTTCTGTTTCTCACCATGCTGTGGCATTATAAATAATAAGAACTAGTCTAAAAATGAAAATTGTTTGCCCAGAGCTGAATAATGAATAAGTCTTATCAGTGTGAAAACCGGAAAATATCATGGGAGGTCGGAAATCCTGTGAGTAGGTGCTCGAGATGGAAACCCTGATGGCCCGGTGCCACGCCACAGTGGGGATCAGACCCTGTTAGGGTTTAAGATGTGAGGTGTCTCGCCAGGCGCCATCTGCTCCAGCTGCACAATGCAGAAGCCGGGCACCAGAGAGCTGGCCAGTGAGAATTCCAGCAGTTTTCTTTTTTATTTAAAGACCTGAATTTTTTTGTAAGGAGAAAGAAGACCAGTTATTTTTCTTGGATGTTATCCATTCTCTTTGGAAGTAATAAGATGGCCTCACTTGATGAGAAAGCTGTGAAGACATTCTGCTGAGAACAGGCAGCAGTAGTGGCCAGTTGTTTCTGCTAACACCATCAGAATCTCCCTACTCTTTGTGCTTGGAAGAAGTCCTTCGTTTAACTGAAACATTTGAGCTGTGTTTGGGATTTTCTCTAAATACCCCACTAGAATCCCTTAAATTTTTCAGTGTGCAAACCAAGGAGGACTTTGTGGGGGTTGGCAGGGTAGATATGCTAATGAGCTGAGGCATGAGAATGGTTTCTCATTCTCTCAAAACCCTGATGACGCTGAAGCTGCGCTTCAAGGATGAAACTGTCACTGTGGTGTTGCAAGCACGAGCTAGCGAGGCACACAGAGGATATTGCATTACATTTGCCCCTCTGTTTTCTCTGCTTCTAGAGCAAGAGTCTGAACAGCGAGGGATCTAACCTATCAAATATTATGCAATAACTGAATTTCCTCTCAATGGTCAATTTCAGAACTGTTAGCAGGGGAAGTCTCGCGGCCAAGGTCCAGGCCCGATTCTGTGGGATCAGGACTCCTCTCAGGCTTGTTTGCAAGTGTTCATAAAGGAAGAAAAATTATTTGGTGTCTTTTTGGTGTGTGTGTGTGTGTGTGTGTGTGTGTGTGTGTGTGTGTGTGTCTGTGTGCTCATAGTAATTGCCTGCAGAGACAGAGAGAAGCTGGGAAGGGAGCTACATTGAGAAAGGGGAGACAGCATTTGGAAGGTGACCAGGGAAAGGCAGCCATGGCCTGAGAGTGGGAGATGCTTGGGCTGGGACAGGAAGAACCAGAGCCCAGGCAGGGGCCCAGAGCCCTGGGCGGTGAGTGTGGGAAGGTGGGGAGGCCTTGGTTGGGCCCCCAATGAGGTAATAGAGAGGCTAACTCAGTTTTCAGTAGAGAAAGATGTAAGGAGGCGTTACATGTGTTTGTGTGATTTGTTATTCATAATTAATAAAAAATATGAAGTGGCTTTTTCATTTAGAAAGGCTTTATTGCCTCAGTTGTGGACAGCGCTAGTCCATGGAAGGGCAGGGGATGCAGGCGACCTAGGAAGAAGGGAGGCTTCTGTCGTGAAGCATAAAACCTTGTTTTGGTGAAATGTCTTGGTCCCTGCCCATGAGGCAGGTTGGCTGTCAGGCACTGGGGGCCAGAGGTGCAGGTGTCAGGTGGTGGCCGCTCCCGAAGGTCGGATTCTTGCAGCGTTCTGTGTTCCTTGCAATCACTGTGACTCGGGAGTATTGGCTCATGTAATTAATGCTCAGCAAATATGCCCTTCATTCCGTAATCTTTTAGGGACTGTCTGGGGGATGGACACCATGCCTCCTCCTAGGGTGTGATGGGGGCAGAATGGTTCCTGTGCACGGGGACGGGGACCCCAGAGGCCAGCAGGCACCTGGCTGAGACCTTGGCACTGGCTCTTGTGCAGGGAGGGTGAACAAACAGAAGAACTCACCTCTTGCCCTCAGGGAGCTGAGTGAACATGGGAAGAGACTAGAAAGGCACAGCGTGTAGGAGGAAGCAAGTGCGTGGCTCCTGTGGAGGACTGAAGTGTAGGGGAGACTCGCCTCGCCTGGCCTGAGGGAGAAGGAAGCTCTTGGCTGATGAGGGCGGTTGGGTGGGCTTCAGGGGACATCGAGCTGGACCCAGAGTTAGAAGTGTGGTGCAGGGAGCAGCCTGAGCCCATGGGTGAGGTCCCCTCCCCACTGTGTCTTGGTACGATGGCTTCAGACAGTTCACTGCCCTCGGTGTCCGGATGTGAAGTTTGCCGCGCTGCCCTGTGAGCAGGAGCTCTGGTGACCTGCAGGGAAACAGAGCTGTGGCCCCTCCTGGGTTGGCAGCACCCTTCAGTCCCTGCTGTTTCTCGCTGTAGGTAGAAAGCAGCAAAGACCAGCGCTGGAGGTGGGAGCGGGGAGGTTGTTGAGGAGCCCTTCTCCCGGGCCCAGGGCTCAGTCTTCCCTGTGGGGCCATCCCCAGTCTAAATTGCAGGAAGTCAGCAGTTGGGCCCAATATTTCATTTCATGATTTACTTTTTTCCTAGAATTTGTGCCATGCTGATTTAGCCATTCAGAAAAAAAGTTAAATAGAGGCCATTTGATAATGTCTCATGAGGCCGTTCTACTGAGATACAAGGATTTGAAGTCCTAATTTTCTTTCCAGTTGAAACTGAGATTCTGTAGTGTAAATCAAAGCATACTTACTAAAAGTTTGACTCTGTTAAGTGGAGAAAAAAGCGACATTGACCGAGCAGGTGGGAGAGCAGGATGTTTAGGATAGCAACAGCCGTGCCCATGTGGTGAGACAGTCGTCTGAGGAGTTGGGATGGGTTGGTTGTTTGTTCTCTGGTGGGAGCCGTGTCACCCAGTGCTCTTCTGGAGCTGTATGACCAGCCCAAGGCGCAGGGACCGGGATACAGCCTCAGGGTGAGCTCTGTGTTGGGAAGCTGCTGCCCACAAGGAGGCCTGCGGGTGGCCCGGGCTCCCCGCCCAGGGGCAGCCATGGCGCCAGCGCCTAGTGCGTGGGCCCCCATTGTGCAAGTTGGGTGTGACAGGTGGCCGGTGCCCCACGCGGCCTGGGGGACCCCACGTGTTCTGCGGGGTCTACTGCCCTGCCCTGCTGTAGTGACAGGTAAGGGGTCTTGCCGGCTGGGAACCTCATTTCACACCTGACGAGAAGCTGGAAGAACTGAGAAGCCTGAGCTCTCCTGCCCACTCTTGCCTGCCTGGTGCCTGGAAGTCATAACTTCACACTGGAAATTAGATTCCCTGCTTTTGAGATTCATGTGGCCTGTTGTTTGAAACCTTATTGGGTAAATTAAGTGTGCAGGCTTCAGAAGGCTTTTTGTGTGGGACTTTTCCCTTAGTGGGATCTGGGAGCAACCCCATTATGTTTTATCTCACAATTTAATGTGAATTTTACATTGTGCTAAGTAATATGTTCTGACTGTTTTAATATAAACACCCTTTGTACAGTTTCTCGTACTGTTGAGTCTCCAAAAGATGCGTTGTCTTTACCCACAGCTCCCTCTGGAACCCGGAGAAGTCTGCTGCAGCCCCGGGTTGTCCCTCCAGGCCTGGATGTCCTGCCCTGAAGTCCTGCCCTTTGCGCCTGCTGGGCTGAGCTGTGTTCCCTGACCTAAGGTGGATGCCCCAGTTGGTTAGGAGTGAGGTAGATGGTAAAGCACTCCACATACGTGAACTTTCTTTGCAGTGGAGAATTGAGATTAGCAGAGTAAGAGCTCCACAGCCTTAGGGTATAACTGTGGGGTCAGAGTTTCTTTTTTTGTTTTTTTGTTTGTTTTGGTACCGGGGATCGAACTCGAGTCCTTAGCTTGCGAGGCAGGCGGTGGAACCACTGAGCTAAATCCCCAGCCCCCTGTTTTGTTTTTTTTGAGACAGGGTCTCACCATGTAGTTCAGGTTGGCCTTGAACTCACTATGTATCCCAGATTGGCCTTGAACTTGCAGTGATCCTCCTGACTCATCCTCCTGAGTGCTGGGATTACAGGTGTGCACCACCATGCCCAGCATTTATGTCAAGAGTTTCTTGGTAGGGACCATAGACGTTTCCTAGTTGAGTCCCCCGTTTTTCCCCAGGTGTTGACGATTGAACCCGGGCCTTGTGTGTGACAGGCATATCTATAGCACTGAGCTACACCCCTATCTCTTTTATAAATCATTATTTTGAGACCATTGCACTGAGTGGTCCAGGCTGGCCTCCAACTTGCAGTCCTCCTGCCTCAGCCTCCAGTGTAAGTGCTACCGTGCCTGGCGAGCCCGCTCACTTTACATGGAAGGCAGCTGGGGCTCAGTGTTGG